TCTCGAAGGAAGCGTCCAGTGGCGGGTTGACCACGCCGGCCACGGACTTGACGAGTGACATAAAGAGCAGCGGGAACCACACGATGCAGATGAGCAGCATCACGATCATCCCACCCATGCCGTACTTCACCACCTTTTTCTTCTTCTGGCCTCGTGGCTGAGGGTACCTCTGTATGGGTGGAAAGATAGTTTTCTTTTGCTGTTTGTTCTCTCTCTTCTGTCTCTTTACCTCTTTCAAACGACTTGGTTAAAACCAAAGGGTGTTAATGCTATTATCTTATAATATAAGACATGTTGAGGGGGGGGACAAGAAAAAAAAAAAAAAAGTTGAACCAGGAAATAATTTCAAGGCAATCGCATTTCTCGCTCGGCTACACTTCTAAAACGTCGGAAATGCATTTTATTCCGGCACCTTTTCCGACTCTCGCCAGCATTTGAGGATGAAGATGTGAGCGTAGATGTCCTCCACACAAATCCAGCTGGATAGAGAGAGCGATGTGTCAGTCCACACCCAGTCCATCACGGCACGCAGCTCTGTCAGGAATGGAACCATACGGAACCTGGAAACAACATTGGTTTGTTTATTTTCATTTTTGGGGAATGATTTTCTTTGTGCAAAGTGACTTCCTTACCCTTGAAAGAGGAAGAGGTTGACATAATTGTAGCTCTTGGTGAGGAAGTTCCCTAACACGCGGGTGGGATAACCGCACCGGATCTGATAGGCTGACAACCCAAAGTAGATGCACTTCACAAAATACCACATCTGAGCCACGTTGTTCTTGTTGAAACGCCTTAAAAAAATAAACACATGACAAATGTCAAATGACATTTGACAGCGAGACGGTAAGCGTGTATATTCTTACTTCTCGGTGACTCCCGGCAGGATGAAGAACATCCAGAAGTGGATGCCGAAGACCAGGAAGACCTGAAAGATGACCTTGCCCATGACAGACTTGCGTAGGTAGAGGGCCCGGTCCACCACCATGGTCCCAAACTGAATGAGGACCATCACCAAGAAAGGTCCGGGGACTTGATCCTCTGACAGTGACGAAGTAATGTCTGCCGCCGAATGTTTCTACAAGAAAACAAACATATTGTAGGATGGGAATTTGGGATGGAAAGTTACGATTTCCAATGATACCAACAGCGCCATTCTATGAAAATGTTCGGGGTGCGCTTTACGCGACCTTATGAAGACCTCAGTGTAAAGGTGACACCTACGCCAAAAGCCCAGAAGCCAAAGACTATGATGATGAAGTCAACGGTATCGGCGAGGAACATGAGCACGTAGACGTCGGTCACGGCGCTGTACTCGGGATGGATGAGGTCATAGAAGAACTGACGCATGGGCACGTAGATCTCCATGATTCTGAAAAGCACCCACAAAGCTTTATTAAATGCATTACATACAAAATCAAGAGGAGTCGAAGAGAATGCCTGAAAATTTTCAAGACTGGTTTAAAATGACAACGCGTTGTACTTCTTGACGGTGTAGGCTCTGGCCTTGACGAGCTGCTCCTTCAACTTCTCCAGGATCATCTGCATCCTGCTCTTCTGATGCACGCTGGCTTCGCTGCCATCCTTGTGGCTGCTGCTGTGGGAGGTGACACTTCCTGCGGAGTGAGTCAGGAACAAGACTTCAAATGCAAAGCCCGATTTTGGGCTCTAGTGTGGTTGTGGTGGCGGTGGGCGGAATCCAATGAAGCACAAAAAGATGATCTCACCCCGCTTGGCTCGGGCAGATGAGTGCACAGATCTGTGTGAGATGTGTGAACCCCCACTCGAGCTTGTGCGCCGCTGGTAGGTGGGCTCCTGTGGGTGGTGCAGCTGCACGTGGCCTGAGTCGATCGAGGTCCCGAAGTTGATGGAGCGTAAGGTGTTCGTGGAGTCCCGCCGCCGCCGTGCCGCCGAGGACATATTGGTGGTGGCAACGGAGGTGGGTTCTGATTCCCTCTCGCTCTCGTCCCTACGGCTCCCCTCATCCTCCGACTCGCTCTGACGGGATGCCTCTCTCTTCTCATTTGGGTTGTCCTCGTCCCACAGGCCGTGGCACTATGATGGCACGTGGCCCCATTCGATACCAAAATCAATATGAAAAATAATAGCATTTGTGTTAGCCTATCTTGGTAACTGTGAAATAGAGGTGTACTGTAGTCATGTTAGCTGGATAAAGCTAAACGTGTATAAAATGCAAATGTTATGTTAGGGGGCTTAAACTAACAAAAGTGATATGTAACAGTTCACTGCATTAACAGTATGAAAGGAAATAGCTGTGATTGTGCTAAAGCTAACTGCGGAAGTCGAAATCCATGGTAAATGTTCACGTTGGCTGGCTCAAGCCAGGCGTATGTAAAATAGTGATGAGCTGTGATCATATTAGCTGGCTAAAGCCAACACCAACTACAAACTAGATATGGGCTGGAGTGCAGTTAGCTTGTTAATGCTCACTGTGTAGTAAAATAGAAGTAAGCTGGGGTGTGCTAGCTGGTTAAAGCTAACGCAAATGTTGAATGGTAAACACTACTTGTAATGGATGTAAAGTTGCGCTGCACGATTATACGTTTGAAGTGCGCTGTAATTATGCTCGCTGGCTAATGCTAACTGTATTTTTAAATTAGAGGTGTGTATGATGAGGATATAGTGGTGCCTTGCGATCCTAGTTGATGTCGTTCTGTGACCAAACTCACAACTCAAAACACTAGTATCTCAAATGATCTTTCCCCACTGAAATGAATGCATATGTCGGGTCACTCGTATCTCAAGGCACCACTGTCAGTCAGGTTAACTGTTTGTAAAATTGAGGTGAGCTGTGATTATGTAAACTGTCTTTTACCTTGAGTATGGACCTGTGGAAGAAGAGCGCCAGGAGTTGGACCAGGTCGTAGTGGACATAGCCATCCTTTTTTTCCACACCGATGATATTGGGCGGGTGGTACGGGTTGTCCTTCTGTAACTTGTTCTGGTTGAAGGGAAAGAAGCCAAACTGGAAGAAGTATTTGATGACGATGGTGACCTGACAAGCAGAGAGACACACACTTACGTAAGACCATGTTCATTCAATCTGTTTAGCAGTCAATGGTTAGCTGATAAAGGTTTACACCATTGCTAAATGCTCAATCCAAATAAAATATGGATTTCAAAAATAATTCTAATAGTTAAAAAAAGGATTTCAAACAAATATTTTAAAAACACATTAAGACACGACTGAGTCTCTTAAATCCAGTTAAAAGTTTGTCCAGTCAAGTTTGTCCTGATCCGATTTGCTTGGACCCAATCACGAACTGTATAAAAATTGGACGATCGTTGAAATGGCAAGCACTTTTGTTTTATTTGGTACCTCGGTGTAGACGATGGCGGTCATCCAGTAGCGCTTGCTGGGCCGTGGTACGGACAGCATGGCCCACAAGAAGATGGTGACGGGAAGCACCAGCGTGGCAAAATTCGCCGACACCATGTGGTTGATGATTATGACTAGGAAGCAAACCATCTCAGAGTGCGCCACTAACATGTTGTACAAGGCATAGCACAGCTGCAGAATCAGTGGCTGGCTCTGGTAGAACTTCTCTGACTGGTCCAGCTCCTCGTCATAGAACATCCTGGTGATAGATGGGGCAAAAGTGGGTTCCTCTGGGTACTGTGCTAGGTCCATTGCTATTGCTACAACTGTGTGCATGAGCACAGTCTGTTCAAGTCACGTTTAAAAATAGGTAGTTTAAAAGCTCGTCCGGCTCATTTTAAAATCACTTTAGAACTCGTCCAGATTACTTAAAAAATTTTAAAGTTTGGACAGGTAATTAAAAAGCCAAATTAAAGAAAAAAACAGAAAACTTTCCTCATCCAGGTAATGTTAAAGCAAATTCAAATCTTGTCCAGGTGACATTAAGTCCAGTTTAAATCTTGTCAAGATCATTTTCAAAACAGTCTAGGCTCGACTGGTTTTGTATCTTACTTGTTGAGCAGCAGCTCGCTGGCGGTCAACTCCGTGGTCATGGAAGGCAGCATGATGTCGGACCTGCTATCCGAGCGGCTATCTGAGGTCGTGAATATGCGCCGACGTCTCCTGTCCACGTCGCTGTCGTCATCACTCATTTCTAGCCGGTCAAAGCTGACCGCTTTGCTGTAGCTGGGCGGCACTTCTGCATCCGACGTCTTTGAGGCGTCCGTGTCGTTGGTGCACAAGAGATCCCCGGCATGCGGAGAGTCCTGCTGACATCCTCCTCCACCATCCTCGCTCTCACTGATGGTGTCCTCCTGAAGCTGGTTAGAGGGCTCTTCATCTTGGATTAAAGAATCCCAGATGACACTCCTCTCCTCAGGTTCTACTTCCTGTCCGTCATCGCAGAGCACACTCCCTTCCTCACGGTGTACTTCATGTCCCTCTTGATCTTCCTCCTCGTCTTCTGCTGCTTCCGGAGGATCTGCCTCGGATCCGCCGCAGGCTCCGGCCTCGGCCTCGGGCCCCTCCAGATCCTGGGACTTCAGAGGAAGACGTCGCGCTTCCTGCCGGTGATCCCTCTCATCCTCCACTTCTTCTTCTATGGTTTCCGTGGTGCCCTGTCTGTCATGAGATCTCATAAGATTTGATAGGCCGGTACTAAAATATAGCGATGAAGTTATTATTTAAGTCTGCCAAGAGGACAACAAGAGCTACTTATCCAATTCCTTAAACACATTCTGCCTTCTGTGCCCTGCTGCGTCCAACCTTGCTCTGTGATTTGGTTTTGCATTTTTTGCAGATAAAGACTTTTAAGGCAGTTTAAAACTCATCAAATTTGTTTTTCAACACTTATAAAGCTTCTTGTGATAGTGTCAAAACCAGGTTAAAGATTTTCCGCCTAACTTTGAAAAATGGTCCTGTTCATTTAAAACCAGTTTCTGAAGTTAATTTGTAAGATTTAAAGCTTTTGAATAATTAAACATTTGCAAAGTGTATTTCTAAAACCAGTTTAAAGTTTGACTGGTTCAAATGATAAGTTCTTGGCCCAACTAAATAATATCTAAGGAAATGAAACGCATGCACATGACAAGATGGATGGATACTGAAGTATATGTGTGTGTGCGCTTGTGTGTGTGCGTTGGGTCCGAGCCTGGTTGCACCTGGACACGAAGCTGCTACCGCTGTCCATGGACGAGGTGGACACATCCAGGCCGTACATCTTGCGCAGTTTGGGCCGCGCCCGCTCGCTGGTTTTGGGGATGCACTCGGGCATCCCATCGAGGTCCTCCAGCGTGGACTGACGGGAAAATAGCGTTGTGGCCTCGGTGTAGGCGCTGAGATGCAGCGATGGAGGTGGTGGGTGGAAGAAGCAAGATGAGATGGAGTGTTAGCACTGAGGGATGTGGTCTATAAATTAAAATGGCCGAATTCCTTTTTAATTTTGGCCATGGTTCTTTAGACTTTTTGCTTGTTACTTCAATGATAAACATGTCCTCCCAATTCATTGTGGATCCAGGCAATTTTCGTCTGGTGCTTGTGTTACATTAAATTCCTTTGGCAAAAAAACAAATAAATTAATACATATACATTTTAAAAATGGGGGTTGGTCATCTATTTAGGATAACTGCTTCTAATTGGGGCTGGTGAGACCTGGAAATTGCCCATGGTGTCTAGTTCAAAACAAAATGACCAACTTCTGGGCAAGAGACCTTGAGACTTTTTCATGCGTATTGTTTGGATAGACCTGTCCACACAATTTTAAATCAACTGGGGCAACGTTTTCTTAGTTGTATTTCATCTGGTGCTTGGGCCATAAAGAAAAGTAATGAGATGAGTGCGGGTGAACCAAATGAAGTGTCTGATGAAATTATCTTCTTATCTAAATTTTCATGTACCTTGATATGCTGTCCCTGGAGCCCGTGGAGGTCTGGCTCTCCATTTGGGAGCCTCTCTGCCGACGCCGGGCCCTCGTCGAGCACCCCGCCGACTCATCATCAATGAGCAGGTCCATGCTGGCCTGCCGCGACATGTTGAGCCGCATGGCCTTCTGGTAGTATACGTGAATGCTCTCCCTGGATGGCACGTTGCCCTGGTTAAAGTTGACAGTGGCATAGGAGAAGTGGGATTATCAACAGACTTGATTTGCTCAACTAAGCCGAGTGCAGCTCAGGGTGAGCGCGAGTAGCAGTACAAAATGACAGAGCAAAGTACAAGACATTCAAGCCGCGTACAGATTGCGGGGACAGAAAGCTCAAGCACAGGACGAGATCTCAAGCTCAGCATGGGTTGCTCCAGCGCAGTGCAGGATTCTAGACGATAATACAGGATGCGGCGCTGCAGTACAGGATGTCAGTACAGAGGGCTAGAGTACAGGACAGGATGCTTGAGCACAGGACAGGGTCCTGGCGAGCACGGTATTTTACCTTCTTGACCTCCCTGGTAAGCATGCAGCGCTCGATGCGCAGCACAGTGGAGATGTCGATGTACTCTCGGCACACTTCGTTCATCCAGCGGGTGAAGCTGTCTATGGTGGTCTGCAGCAGCACCCAGGTGAACTTAATGAGGTTGAACACACGCTTGAAGATGTTGTCTGCACAAGGTTCAAATCGTTGGGAGAAGATAAGAGGAGGAGCAGGAGGAAGAGGGAAAAAAAAAGAGAAGAAGCCAACCTGGACCAGAGTTATCGTCTTGTTCTTGGCTGTCGGACAGATCATCCATCTCGATGCCAACGTGAGCTTCTGCAGCACATACAGGAACTCATTAAGGAATTTCAAACCCTGTCCAGTTCATTTAAAATCAAATGGAAGTTTTAAAGTGTTCACTTTCAAACCAGTTCAGAACTCACCCAGTTCATTTTAATACTCACCAAGATCATTTTAATTCCAAAGTCCAAACTGAACATTTTAAACTCAGTTCAAAGTTCATTAGGTTAATTTGAATCCCAGTTCGAAGCTAGTCCAGTTTATTTTGAAACCGGTCTAAAGCTTGTGCAGTTAATTTTAAAAATAGTTCCAGGCGTGCCAGGAGTATAAAGCAAGCCCAGTCCACATACTGCAGAAACCCGTTTTAAATTTGTCCCTTTCATTTTTAAAGGTACTGTATTTCAATCTTTGAGTTCAGAGTTCATCCAGTTATTTTTAAATTTTAAATCAAAGTTCATGAGGTTCACACTAAAACAGGTTTTCATTTTTAATCTCACCTGGTTCACTTTTCAAAATATTTTACAGTGTCTCCAGTTCCACCCCCCCCACCCCACTTACCCTGCTTTTTGCTCTTCTTGCGTCTGCCTCCCTTAGTGTATTTCTTCCAGAATTTGCGTTTTTCCTTGGCTCTTGCCTTCAGGGCTGCTTTGGGATCTTTGATCCACGTGTGGTAGAGGAACTGCAGTTTAATGTAAGACACAAGATGATAAAAACAAAGAATGTGCTTGCATGGATAAAGCCACAAGCGATTGGTAAAGAGAGTAAACAGGCGACGTGCATTCAAAAGGTTACATTTTACAACCAATCCGTGCAACTTACCCATTAAGTCACAAAACAACAACAACAATCAAGACAAGCAAAATGTCACATCCACGATTTCATATCCACTTAATTGGCGTCGCAGCAAAACACTCAAGATGGACGCCGGAGGCCCTTTGTGGTCATGCACAAATGGAGAGAAAGCCAACAGCCGGTTGTGGTTTACCTTTCCTGCCTTCACAACATACTGAAGCACAGTTTTAGGAAGCTTTATGACTGACTTGGGCAAAGCCAGAACGGCTGACAGAAACTTCCCGATAGCTCGCTACAGGTGGGGGAAGACACGGGTGGAGGGAGAGAGAAAGATGGGAAACAAGAAATTGGGATAGGGATAAAGGTGATCAAAGGACGCAGGTTAAGGGAGGACAGGTCAGGACACAGATGGAGGTCAAAGGCAGAGAGAGCAAGCATAGGTGGAAGAGAAAACAATGGGTGAGGAGGAATCAGGATGCAAAACACCAGCGGAGAACACATAGATGGACAGAGATGACAAAAGGTGGAGGGAAGACACAGGTGGTGAGGGTTAGTAGAGCATCGTGTAACAGCAGACATGTTGGGTTGTGCTGTAAATGTGATTAATATGTGGGCTGAAAAAATACAAACAAGTCAATTAAATCTATGCAGAAAGCACCTGGAAGGGGGACCTCCTTGGCAGCTCCTCATCTTTCAAATCGTCCTCCTCCTCTTCTTCCTCGCTGTCGGTTTCAAACAGGTAATACTCGCCGCTTCTAACCACTGACGGGGACAGCACAAGGTTTACTTTGGAGATGCACAAAACACTAACATCCGAAAGGAAGGAAAAGACCCTGAATCTAACAGGACAAATACAAAGCGCTGATGTGATATGTGTTTGAGTCGGCAGCAGAGTTTAAAGCGACAAGGCTGACTTGTGTCCTTGAACAGAAGTGCAAGTGACTGGCTGAGCGGGAGGTGTGAAGGGGGCGGGGGGATGCTGAGGTACAGGGGTGGCAAAATTGGGAGTGGTGGGTCAGGCTGCAAAAGCTGACATGATTCATGGCCAAACAGGTAACCAGCCTTTGAAGAACAAAAAACTGAAAAGAAATGATTCCATCTGCACCTTTGTACCAGTCCCATCACACAATTTGTTAATTTCTTGTTTTACCCACATGCCACATCACCATTAAGTGGCACAGGAATCACTCATGATGTTTATCGGTCAGCATGTGAACTAATAAATCAAAGGGCCGGTAAGGCATCAAAAGTTGTTGTGTCTACCGCCAAAAAGAAACAAAAAGTAGATGTATGTACTAAAAAAAACTATGTACCGCGGCAATTTAAGCTGACTGTGAAACCCAGACCAGCACCAGAATTTGATGGTTTCTCATTTGGCCCTTGTAGTTTTTTTTTTGTTAAATATGTGAACAAACCAACCAAATGGTCATTAGAACAACTCAACTTAACAAACTTGAATTAGAAAAAGTAACGATTTAATAGCTGGTGACACCTGATGGTTTTCATCATGTCTGCGGGCAAAGAATGAAACCTTTTGAGGTGGACAGGACTTCATATCTTTGCGTGGAAACATTTTAACAGGTGAGCAATTCCCCACCGCGGGCACTTCAGGCATTCTAAACGAAAGCGCAACCTCCGGCCGTTAGTCCTTTTCTCGTTCGTCTTCATCTCGTGTCTATTTAAGGCGATGTTGCCGCACTACGAACACACGTAGTAGATCATATAAAGTGCCACTTTAGCGACAGTCAAGCAGCGTCCTTAAATAGAGACAGAAAAGGACTAAAAAAGACCAGAGGACAGCGGCCGTTGCCTTTGGCGCCCTCGGACGGAGTGGGAATTCTCAGCGGCGTTCTGGTCGAGGACACAAGGGCCAATGGGAGCGAAGAAATGAGTATAAGAGGGGGAGGGGTCAACCTACTGGAAGCATGGTCAACCCACGGCCTCCACCAGTGCTTTTTTTTGGTCTTGGCTTTGGTTCGCTGCGCTCCTAAAATTTAACAAATGACATCAGTGCAACACGACACAAAGTAAAAGATCAAAGGAAGAGTGGCTACGTTAGCTTCGCATCATCAACACGGGCACAGGGGTGGGCCTTCGCCATACCCTCGTCCTCCTCAACGGGAGGGGGCGGGGCAAGCATCCGTCCGTCCACAGATTCCTGCACCATGCTCAGCATCCTCTCCTTGCCACGCTTGAACTTCTGCTGCCGCACCTTAATGCGCTCCATCCTGTGCAGACGGACACACAGGAAGGTGAGTGCCGCTCGTATATGGACTTAATGTGGCAGGATACACTCCTTATATGTCATTATTTTCAACGAGGGCCCAAACAGGATATTAGAATTGGGTTAGTGCTGCGTGATGTTTGAATGTCACTTAGAGCGCAAGACAATTCAACAATTTTATTAGCTTTGTATTTTGACAGGAATATTCAGCGTCTAAGAAGACAATTCAACAATTTTATTAGCTTTGTATTTTGGGAGCCTCAACAAATGCAAATATAATACTTAACAATTAAAATAAAAGTTGATGTCAAAAACACAAAACAAAATACAAAAAAAAGGAATAAAACCAAACACACAAAATAAAACAAAAACAAAATTAAGTAAAATAATATAAAAATGAGACGAATAAATTAAATAAGAACAGCTCACTGTCGTTTCAGCTGCTCCACAGATTTACGCTCGTCCTCCAAACGTGCCCGCACTGCTTTCACGATAGTGGCCTGGAAAAGCTCCGCCCCCCTGGAACACAGCACACACAAGAGAAGTGAGTACGCCACCCAGCTTTGTGACCCCTACGAGGTGGAGCCACGCCTACCTGGAGGCGAGAATCTGTGAGGCCCTGATGTCGGCCACCACGTGCAGGAAGTAGTAGCTCATGAAGACACGCCGCTGCAGCAGCAGGAAGGCAAAGCAGATGCTGTCCCAGATGATGCCCGCCTCGTCGTTGGGCAGCTCGCACCGCTGATCCACCTCTGCTCGGACCAAATGCTTCAATGGGACAATGTGTGTGTGTTTCGGTGTACATTCAGGTGTGAGTGTGTGTGGGTGTCTTACTGAGATGCTCCTGGTTTGTGTTGATATTGTAATCCTTGATGGTGCACGCCAGGCTGAAGAGCTGGATGAGCCAGCACTTGTTGGGGATCAGAGAGTTGATGTAGCCACAAGCACGAATCTGGAAACAACGGGAATGTATAAGTGGATCAATGCATGTGACAATAGTAATTCTTCTAAACAAGGTAACACTCCATAAAAGCAAAACACATTCCAAACTGATCTGATGGCATGTGCAGTAAATGGCATTCGAGAAGTGTTGACTAGATTTAAAAACAAACATGACACAGAATATGTACAAGAAAATATTGTACATATTATTTTATGTAAGTGTGTGAATAATTGAATTTCCATATTAAAAAAGTAGAAATGCAATTTATTTTGTTAGAATTAATATGTATATGTATGAATGTGTATTTTTTAGACTGTTGTATTATATTCTTTACAATTCATTTAAGAATTTTTGTATATATTTGGGTTCTACTAAATGACAATTAATTCTGATGAGATTCAAGAGGAAATATTTTACAATTATATCTTTTTTAAATCTAAAGTGTTGCATCCACTTACAGACAAAATGTTCTTCATGGTGATGACAAAGATATTGTAGGCAATGAGGAAGTCCCAGTAGTGGAGAATCTTTTTAATGGGCTTGAGCAGGAGCTCGCCGCCGAAGAGCAGGAAGTAGAAACACGCCACCAGGTAACCCATGCAGAACACGCTGATGCGTGTGGTTCCCGTGATGAAGATGATTGTCAGCACGAACCAGAACAGATAGCTGAACATGATCACCTTCAGCATGTCCAAGTACGACCTACAGGGAACAGTTGAGTGTCAACTCGAAACAGAACTTGGATCACATACCATGAAGAATAAATAGGATTCTGGCTTTTGTATAGGAAGGTGGGCGGGAGGGGTTTGAGAGGCGAGCTGCAGCATTTTGGACCAATTAGAGAAATTTGAGGGAGGGCTGCCTGACTCCAAATTAAAGTGCATTACAGCAATCCAAGTGAGATGTGATGAAGGCATAAATTACTGTACTGCTGTGTAAGGAAAGAAAACGTTTGTCAGCTGCCTCAGGTGACCGTATTGATTTGCCCATCCAATTTACAATCGATATCCAACTTAAAACCCAAGTTTAAGGGCGTTGGGTTACCAAAGTGTCCTGAAGAGCTCAAGTGAACAGAGAGGGATTTACAAGGGCAAGTGGGACCAAAAATCATACCTTCAATTTTCATGTCATTTAAATAAAATATTAAATAAAATAAAAACTATACCGGTATATACAAATGCAAGTAAATAAAATAAACATTGATCATGTTTTTAATTGTTGCGCATGATTTCCTTGTGTCCCTCTGATACCTCTGGACATAAACTTGACAGTCAAAGGGCACACACATTTCTGTCGTATGACGCAGGGCATGTCGACATATCAGCAAAACGCAAACGTGTGCATGGCAGCCTCCATTACACGTGATGGATGCGGTGAAAACATAGGAAGCAGCGTTCATTTGACAGCCAGTTTGGGATGATCAATTGCCGCCTTGATGGGTGAAAATACCTTTTCCATACTTGAAAGCTATTTATTGAGTTAGAGCACAAAGGGGAAAAGTGCCTAAGTAGTGCAGTGACCAAGAGAGTGTTTTTGCAGATTATGGATTTCTACCCCCACCCCCACTCGGGCTCCGTAATTTGATCCTGGATGGGGGAAACGGCGATGGAATAAGTGCAGAGTGGCCGTGGCATGCTCTCGACCTCGCGGCGAGGTCTTGTTGATGGACGTAGAGTGCGTTAATAAAAGACATGTCCACTTTGTGCAGCAAAACACTGCAATATGAAACATATGCGATCAATGCCTGCGGACGACTAAGGATGCGTAACTTGCCTCGGCCTGTACTGCTTCGTGTGACCTCAACGATCCATATACATTTGACCCTAAACATTGGAATTCTAAGCCATCATGACAACTGGCTGCAGTGGAGTCATGACATGCTTCACAAGAATACTCGCCCTAAACGGTCAACAAACGGCGTACCTGCAGTGGATGAAGTCAGGGACGGGGTTGTGTACGCTAAATGAGGACGCATCCAGGTCCCTGCAGATCTCCACGTTGTCTCCGGCCATGATGCGCACGGCCGCCTTGTTCTCATCGTCAAACACTTGCCTCTGCATGGAGGCGCACAGCAGCAACATGAAGTCGTCTGGAGAAAAGAGGCCCACGCTTACCTTAACCGGCATGTAAATGTGGCTTTGAGGAGAATGAGGCTGTTGGGGGTGGGGGGTGGAGAAAAAAAATGCCGCGACATACAGATGAGGAAGGACGGGTTAGGCCTGGAGAGAAAATCAGGAACATAGAGCCACTTGACCACGTTGGAGTCTGTCGTGGAGCTTGGGAATCTCCAAGGATAGTCTGCAAATTGTAAACATGCAAACACATTACTGCAACTTGCACAATGGGTTTCACTTTTTGCTAATTATATTACTGCTGGTATTCGTTTTGGATTTTAAAAACATTTCTCTATCATGAATTGACACTTTTACAGTAAACATTTCAAGGCCACTTTATTATTGCATATATCATATTACCGGTAGTTCTAAACAACTTATAATTATAAACAACAATATTGAACATTAGTTTTGTTAGAATTTATATTTGTATTATAAAATACTTTATTTGAATAATATCATTCAACTATTTTTTAGAATTGGTGTTTCGAATTTAATTGGTATATTCCTAAAATGACATCATGAAAGCCAAAATTGAAAAGAAAAGCTCCTTGGCGGAAAAGTAAATAAATGGCGGCGACGGCATTTGCAGACCTTTACAGGCCGCAGGTGGGATCCCGATGCAGACAAAGTACTGGAAGGTGAGCATGCAGGCCAGGAAGCAGCAGTACTTGGGCCAGATCTCTGCAATGGCCTTCCTGCGGCGCCGGTACATGACGGTGATGAGGGCGAAGGCATGCAGCATGGCGTAGAAGTCCATACGCTGGCCGATCACATTCACGCCCAGCAGCAGGCAAGTCTGCGGATGGTTGGAAAGAGGGAGGTCGTCATTTATTCACGCAGCATTGAGAACAATTGTGAGTGTTTTTAAAGGTAACGGATGTTCGCTCATGGTCGCAACTGGTCGCCAGATATTCGCGTATACTTTTCTTGTCGCAAGAACATGTTCCAAATTTCCTCCTGACAAGAAAAAAACCCCAAAAAAACTGTTGGCGAACCGTTTGGTGAAGATTTGCGAATGTGAATGAATCCTGACGTGAACGCAACATTCTCTACCTGCAAAAACACTCACAATTGTTCGCAGCTCAGTGGGACCGGGGCTTTAGCGGGACGTGAATTAGAAAAGCAAATTCACCTCGAGTCCGAATTTGTAAAAGAAGTAGTTGATGAAATATTTGATGAAGCAGATGATGCCAACGTCCAGGTGTTGGCGTGTCACGTCATGGAAGATGATGCGGGCGGCGGGAGGCGACAGCTTGTTCCTCAGACGGAAATATAGCTGGTGGCGGTAGATGGTCACCTCGAACGCCAGGAGAGCCAGAATCAGGAGGTTGTGCTGGACATGTGCACACACGTACACACACAATTGGATTTTTTTTCGTGTTATATTTATGTATGCATTTATTTATTCTTGTATTTTGGGGGGATTTTATTTAAACATTTTTTTAATTTTTGTTATAAGTCTGCCTCCTTCAATTTTAATGTCCAGTTGTCCCCACATACCCTCAAATGAACAAACTGCAGTGCATCTGCTTGGACTGATTGTGGTCTTCCACTCACCCTGATGTAGCCCAGCAAGTCATCAGTCTTTTGCAGGCCCACCCACTTGGCAGGATCCACCAGACCACTATAGAGCAGAGAGCCTCGCATCTCCGCCACCTGCTCGGTGGTGTAAGCTGCTGGCTATCACGGGGAACACACACACGCGCAGGCTCATTCAATGCTGCAGGCGGCCTTGATTCTTATCAAAACGACAAGAATTTCTCACCATAGTGCAGTTTTTAGAGTAGGTGAGCGGCTTGATGGACGTGAGCTGGTACAACATTTTGCACACGATGATCACGCATGTCCAGACACTGCAGACCTTGGATGCCAAGGGACGATATTGGCTGTAGGGCAGCGCAAAGGCCCAAGACGATAGGAACACGTAGTTGAGCAACGACACCTGCATGGCGGGCACAATGTTCGCGTGGCAACTGTGAGCATGTTGGCAAGTCTAATTATTATTATTATTATTATTTTTTTTTTTTTTGCATTCAATTTATTGACAAAATAATGGACAGATGAATCAATAATTTAAATAGTTGTAGCCTTATGTTATACCTATTCCAGGAAGGTTTAACAATACAAGCACCACTGAGACACAAAATACTCCCAAATCAACATTATTGATCCAAACAGGTTGTTAGTGTACTTTAGCGTTACCTCTCGGATGGAAACCAGTACGATGTAGCAGGAGACAATCTTGATGATGTGGATCTCCAGCAGCCACCAGATGAATAGCTGCAATTTATGGAAGTACTCGAGGAACTTGAGGAAGAGCACGGTGAGCCGGTCCACCACTAGGTGCCATTTGCTCTTCAGGTCTGGAAACAATAGCGACTGTTTTATAAAATGGAGGAATGTTTGAAGCAGAATCACCTCACGCCTCCCCACCTCCCCACCCCCACAAACAATTGGGAGCTTTCTTTAAGTCTCTGACAAAGTGAGGCGATGTATGTTGAACTGAATCCAAACTTCAAATGCAATATAATGTTTCACAGTTTCACGTTCATGGAGCACCAGACTTACGACAGCCTCTGGAGCACATTCAGAGAAAATCTGCTAAAGTCAACATGGGAATGCGCAGCTGAATAGATTTGACAGGGAACGCCCATATTTGAGGGTTTCTCCACCAAGAGTGCCTATCTGGCAAGAGGGTCCGTAAATGACAGACTTAAATGTAAATTTGCCAAAAAGCACATAGCTGCGTGGCTTTTTTGATGTAAGCGCATGCCCTTTGTACACAGGCGTCATCTTGGCTCTTTTACTACCTTTGAAAGTGAAAATAAGTGCGTAACTTGGTTTTTCCTTCCTTTCTGCGTCACTATGTGTACCCACAAGCTATAAAAAAAAAAAAAGTAGAAAAATCCCAGAAGACATATTTATCCGCCCTTTGCCTTTCAAAGAGAACCCAGTGAAACTGGATCGTGGACTTTCTCACACAGCGACACTACAATGACAATCACATGTGTAATGACCGTCGAGTGTGACGTATAAAATACTTGCCCGTCAATGATAATTGCTTTCAACACAACAGGGTGGTAGAAATGTGCATCGGGTGTTAAACTTCACAGCCGTGTCCCACCATTGAGGCATTCATCACGCATACGAGCATAGTCCTGGTCCTTTTACGACATGCAAAAGTGAAAAACCGGCAGAGGTTGGTCACCCCCACTGTATGTTTGTACCTCCTACAGAGGCCAAGGAGCTAAAATAAAAAGGGCCGAGAAATCATTGCTTCAACAAAACGATCATGTTCCAAGAATAAGCTTCCTTTAAACTAAAATGTTAACTGTGTTGTGAATAGTAAAAATCAAAGTGCATCAAAATGGATTTTTTTACAACAAACACGAAGCTCTTTCAAATATACTCAGCAACTTTGCTTGCAGGAAAAAACAAAAAAAGGAATAGACTGAAGTGAGTGTTGAGCTATGCACGGTGGCAGAACTTTAAACGCCACATAAATTTGGCCCACAGGAAGAAGGAAAAAAAAAAAAGAAAAAAGAAAAGAAAAAATGCACGGTGGACACACAGCCGCCGTTTTGGTGGCGGTGATTAACGGGTGCACTTTGGTTTGCGGGAGTCTTGTAAATCGTCCAGGCGGGAAATACCTCACAACCTTGGTCGAAACTGCATCATCGTGGATTTCAAACGAATAAAACATTTCGCAGTTGTTGCCCTACAGATGTCACGCTTCCAGAAACCTAACGGGGCTGGAACGATGCCTGGTGGGACTCACCGCTCCTGTGTTGTGTTTAGAGCAACTTGGACCTGGATGGTGTTAACATAGTAGGTCCTCTGAACCAAAATGCCACAAGATGGCAGCGAGGCATTACTTTTTGTCAAAATGAAGCGCCTCAATTCACTTCACCATAGTTTATTTGGTACCAAGATACCAGAAGATGGTGTCAAAGCAACACTTATTGATTTAGCACAAGGACAAAAAAAATCAAATAGCGGCGTTTTTTTTGTGCTTTACGATACGCGTTCTTTTTCTTTCCATTTGAGGCAGGCATAAATGATGGCATTACACGGCAGTCATACCGGAGCTCTGCTCGGTGCTGGGTTCCGGGTCGGTGCCCATGCTGAAGCGCTGGCTGTCGTCCGTGCTGGACTGCCTGGCGTCTGAGAGGCTGCCGGGCTTGGTCTCGCCAGCCGAAGAGGCCGAATCGTCCGTCACCGTCACCAGTGTCTGCTCGCCCTGCGCATCCTGCTCTTCCTCCTTGCCCCGGGACAGCGAGGCGTCTGCGGAGCTGGCACTGAGCATGGTGAGGTCAGCCAGGCTGCCTTCCGGGTGAACCAGTCTGGTGGACACGTTGGTGATTATTACATACGAGGAGACATACACGATACATTATGCCGCTGCTACGTTATGCACTTATGAGGACGTTCTATGGCTGCGTGTGTTTAAAACTTCATATTCATTTTGTTTAATTAATTATGGATGAAAAGACCCATTTTAACACTTTTTTACACTTTACTATTTCCTGAATAGCTAGTGCTGCAACTTTGTCTCTCTTGCTCACTTCATTAAGGGGGCCAAGTACACACAACTAAGGAACCGTTTCTTTGGCCTAGTCGTTTTGATTAATAATTTAAAGTAAAACATGCATGTTAAAAAATGCATTAAATTATAACTGTACGTAGAGGTTCCTTAATATCTCTCTTCCCCCCCCCCCCAATGAGCACACTTTTATTTATAAGTAAAAGCCAATAATTAACGGCACCATTTTTCGAATCAAGAACCACTACTAGTTGTCGGATGTTTCAGAAATAAAAGGTGAGAATCTTTTTTTTTTTTTTAGGTTTATGAAGATCCTGGATCACTTACTCTTGCCCTTGGTCAGCAAATAAATATTTACACCGAACTGATGTGCATTAATCAGCACGATTACAATTTCAGCAGCTGAAGTATCTGCAGACATGCTATGAATTCTGATTTACTGCTCTCATCAAACTGCCATTTTCGTCCTCATGAGCCCATAAACAAGACAGCACACACACGCACTCGAGCCGATCCTCCAAGGCCTCTATTGCAGTCGTTCGCTCTTTATTGATGGAAAGTGACGCGACATTGCAACAGGCAAAGCGGTGCAACATTCTCTGTGCATTCTATACAAAAATCCGACTTGATTTTTGGGTTTACACTTGATCAAAGGGGGGTTGGCTGCATGTCAATCACACGCAACTGCGTAATTTATTATTATGAGGATGCTCACACTTACTTGTGTTGACTTATTTTTTGCTTGATGCTGCTCGGGACAATAAAGTCGCACAGAGTGAGAAGAGAAATTGACAATGACAACAGACTGAATGTAGGTACAGAATCATGTTGTGTTTAGGTGGTTCATTTGTGCGGAGGCTTCAGGCTTTTTGTTCAAGTCATTTTAGGGTCCGAGCATGCTTGTTGACAGGTTTGTTCATCCAGATATAGCTTTAAAAAAAAAAAAAAAGAGGGGCTTTTTCAAGAGGATAAATGGGTTTTTCAAGGGGTTTCAACAATCTGGGCTACAGGCACAATGGAAGCTATCAAACTGGAACAGGAAAAACATTTGTGTCTGTCCAAATCACAGGAGAGTTGTGTTATTGCAGGGCAGGTGGTAACAAGGATGAGACAGGCGTGATTAAGGGAAGGACAGGTTGGAAGAAAGGAACAGTAATTGTTCAGGATGGGGTGAGAGATAAGGTGGTCAGTGGTGAAACAAAAAGTCAGGTCATCAGAAGGGAAAAAACAGACAGAAAGCAGTGACATGTTCTAAAATGCTAAGTAGGAACAGATCAGGTACTATAAATGTGAAATCAGATATTTCCAACTTCCAATACGGTTTTAACATGTTATGATTCGATTTGGTTTGTCAAATAAAAAACGATTTTTCAATTCGAATAGTTTTTTTTGGGGTTTTTTTTTTTTTTTTTGGTATCACCACAAATTAGTATCTATGCACAATTTGCCCCTCACATCTGTAAATATTCTGTTGTGGTCATCAATTTATTTACTAAGAGGTCCGACCTCATAAACACCATGTGGGGCCATTTCCTACTTTCCACTTGACTTGAGTATAGCATCAAGTTAAGTAATAAGTAGGGAAAGGACAGGTCAGATGGTGAGCTTTGGGAACAGGTGAGATGCGTGAGTGTGGGAGGACCCAGGGCAGAGGGACAAGGAGAGACTAGAGGACTTTACAGGTGAATTGGGAGGATGCTGATGGATGCCAGAGGAAGCGAGCCTCTTACCCACCTATTCATGATCAGATACACACGCCCGCTGACTTTAGCGTGGCTGCGACAGGAGGAAGAGTGGCGGCGCAGAAAGAGATTACAGCAAGGCACACAAAGAGATGCAAAAACCCACAGAAAAAAAAAGACAAGACAACAAATACCACACCACTGACTGACACGTATTACAACAAAGCATACATTATGAATGTGAATCGAAATTAGGGCTGTTTAAGAGTACTGGAAGCGTGCTTGAACCAGTTCTTTACAATAGCAACCACACGCACGTAAAATATGTTGACATCATAGCTCTTTTGGGCCATTTTTCAGCATAATGCTACTGTTCAATGACTGAAATAAACCACAACCAATGAACACGCATCAAGCTTGCAGTGGCTGTTCTTAAGGCAATGTTATTTGGTTGTTTGAAATAAACATGTGGTATTTATCTTGTTTTATGTCTAGTTTGACAGTAAATTTTAACAGTGAGTTCCATAAAACAGCTCTAGTTTTCTTTTTTGATAAATTGTTGACTATTTGCCAAACTGCTGCTTATTACCACCGTATAGGGCTCATATCAAGTTTGCACTCACTAGTCAAAGCAAAAAAAAATAAATAAATAAAATTCATTTTTTTGTTTTTTAATTGCCTGCATAACAGGCAGAACAACTTGGAATAACCCAAAAAGTGAGGACACTCGTCTCACCTGTAGATGGTGCTCTCCTCTTTGGCCACCACCGCCTGGAGGTCTGTGAGCTGCAGGAAGCGTTCGTGAAAGTAGTGCAAGTGCAGGATGCACACCAGCAGGAAGGAGGTGGGGATGAAAATCCTGGTGAATAGCTCGGCCACAGAAAATTTCTCCAGGCCCAGGTCCTTGAAACTGCATGGAGGGAATAAATAGTCTACAGGACTTTAATTCCAATTGGCGATGATGTGTCACAGTGGAGCCGACATTAACCTAACCTGTCCGTGTTCTCCGCCGAGTCGGATCTGAACTGGAAGGTGTAAACAGCGATGAGGACCAGCATGGTGTACATCACCACAGACATCCAGAAGTATTTAAGGATTCTTCGCCACCACTCATAGTGCACCTGGAAATGGAGAAAATGGTCCGTTTAAGGGGTGTGCTACTTAATGGGAAGACATAAAAAGTGGCAATGTGTTCAGTGACACGGCACGCTCAAGGGAACCGAGCGCGAACATTTTGGTTTTAGGGTGATTTGATTTTGAAGCGGTCAATTTTTACGACACCGGAATAAAGGCCAGCACATCCAGTCCTTGCAGGTACCGAATTTGCAATTTGGAAGGAGCAAAGCAGTAAAGGCACAGTTTATACACATTTATGTGTATAAAAATGACTACTCTAATCTTCATTTATTCAAAGTTCCTGATAAAAACCACACATTTTCGAAAAAACAACTAACCTAGCAGAGTTTCAGATTTTTGGTACATATTTAGATGGCACAACTGGTTAGTATGTCTGCCTCACAGTACCGAGGTCAATGGTACGACCCCGGCTCCGGCCTTCCTGTGTGGAGTTTGCATGTTCACCCCGTGCCTGTGTGGGTTTTCTCTGGGTACCCCGGTTTCCGCCCACATTCCCAAAAACATGCATGGTAGGTTAATTTGTCACTCAAAAATGACACCTTTCTGTTCCAAATGAGATCACTTTTTTTTTTTTAACATCGCAACTTTACTCCCCAAATTGCAACTTTACTCTTGTAAAATTTGGTATGTTGTCTTTAAACTTACTGACTTAATTCTCGTCACATTACTACTTACTTTGTGTAAAATTACTATTTCTTTTTGTCTTTTCAGTTTGCTCCGGTCGGAACTGGGTGGAAGTGGGCATACCTGGTAGAGCACCATGCAGGAGAGGAACATCATCATGTAGATGATCTTGTACATGACGATGGTGCCCTCGAAGCTGACAAAGAAGAACATGCCGCCGCAGATATAAATCCAGTACTTGACCAGCAGGGCCATCACCATGTTGCCCAGCACGTGCATGACGTCCTTCTCGTCCTCGGGCTCACGCTCCTCTTCCTCTATAGAAAACACAGAGGGTCAATCACTCATTCATTCATTCTTCCGCAATGTCAGCACCTTTCGAAGCACCTTTCATCTTTTGGTCCTCCACCTGTACGCCCAAGAGACCCGCCTCATCCTCCTTTTGCTTCTCTGCCCTCTCAGTGAGCGTCTGTCTCAGCAGCAGCCAGAAGCTCAGCAGACACAACACCTGCAAGACACAATTAAAAAAAATCATTAGCTACCATATGCATGCACCAGACAACCACTTAAAGTAACAAAATAAGTTGCACAAGTAAAGCACATAACTACTTCGTAAGTAAAGAACCCAAGTTTGGAAGTGCCCTTCATCTTGTGCGCTCAAAGCAACCCGAATAGTTGTAGTCACCCCGGCGTACAAACGCGCGAGACTAGTGACGTGTTGCGATATTTCACATTCGGTCTGAACGTAGCAGCAGTCAGCAAATATGTTAGTCAGGTTGCAATCTGCTTGCACTGGGGCCAAGTAACGCAGTGAGCCACCAGATGGAGGGAAAAAATGTTGAATAATAAAGATCACCACCACCCCGTGACCAACAACAAACAAGCATCTTTCGCAGACATCTATCTCACATGATACATACATGGCAATGGCGAGTGATGAAAATAGCGGAAGGGGCGTGGCCTGTACGGGGGCGTGGCCTGTACGGGGGCGTGGCCTGTACGGGGGCGTGGCCTGTACGGGGGCGTGGCCTGTACGGGGGCGTGGCCTGTACGGGGGCGTGGCCTGTACGGGGGCGTGGCCTGTACGGGGGCGTGGCCTGTACGGGGGCGTGGCCTGTACGGGGGCGTGGCCTGTACGGGGGCGTGGTTACTTACAAAAGTGGCACTAAACATGCTGAAGATGAAGTGTATTAAATTTACACAGTTTGAAAATTGAACAGAAAAAAATCCCAAGATCGCCACTATTCTTTCAAGTGAAAATTTGTGCAATTTTGCCTATGCATTCCTGGTGAGCACCAATA